ACAGGGAGAAAAAAAAATCTACTGGCCCTTCCAATTGTCCAGGCTAATTGATGCATCATTGCACATCAAGGAGGGCTGGCTGTGGTATTTGCCTGGAGGACAGGAGGACCTCTGCAAACAAGGATATAAGGGGGCTGGGAGTGTGGCTTAGTGGTAGTGTGCTTGCCTAGCATGCATGAAACCCTGGGTTCGATTCCTCAGTACCACATAAACAGTGGTTCTGTGGTTCAAGTGGTAGAAGCTCAGGGACAGTGCCCAGGCCCTGAGTTCAAGCCCCAGGACTGGCAAAAAAAACCCCAAGGATATAAGGAAAGACATGCAGAAATAGCTGTGGGCAAAAAGAAGACAGGGAAACATAGATACACCCTGGAAATATTAATGACCAAGTTCAAGTCCGGTGTTTATGTTACACATAGACAGAAAGAGGCCTGAAGAGTAGAAATGACTAAGAATAGCCATGTCTCAGAGAGATTCAAAGCTATAAAAGGCATCCATTCTAATCACCACTCCAATCTCTGAATATCCTCCAAAAAACATCCCCAGAGATATTCAAATTGTTTTTCAGGTCTTGCCTGGGTCTTTGAGAAACAGAGATTTTCTATCTCTGGAGTTATATGATTTATCTTTGAATAACATTAGCACAAGCTTCAACTGATTTTCAATATGCTTAGTTCAATGTCCCAGATAACCATGCATACAATAAAAAACAATAATTATGATCTTAGTAACATAATCCAAATCGCTCTAAAAATAAAAAGCCTTTGTAACTCACTTGGTAGCAAAGGTAACCTGAAAGCATATATTGTTTGTAATGCTGTGTATGCATCACTTCATTCTTATAGGCTATAGAGTACTTCTGTTTTTGACCACTGGGAGCTGCTTCAGACCCACTGAGAACACCATATTCCACCAAGTGTGTTAGTGTGCTGTGTGAGGGACACCATGAAAATATTATCCTCACATATGAACGATGTCACAATTGGAGACTTTATTTCTGAATTGCATTTCTAAAACCTGCTATCTGGAAGGTATAGGTAAATCAGAGCATTTTTAGAATATGGAGCTCTCTTCATCCTGAGCCCTTGTGGATTTTCCTAGATGTTGGTCTCCTTGGAATCACAGACATATACATGGACACCAAAGGTCTACTGTACCCCTTATCATTATGAATCTCTTACTTGACTCATTTATAAATTAAACTTGACCATCAAAATATACCAGAAAAGAATAGTAGTACTGACAGGAGATCACCCATTTCAGATGATCTGACTGAAAGGTTTTCAACCTCACCATTACAGAAAAGCAATGCACACTCAATAAAGTTGTGGGTTTTTTTTATTTTGATCTTTCCCCAGATAGCAACATATAGTATATATCACAGTTGGAGCCACAACTTGGGTGAAAATGTCAGCTATACCTCTCTCTAAAATAACCAGCAAGAAGCTGGACTGGAGTCATTATTCGATGGGCTGATCACCAGTTGAGAAAACGTGATGAGTAAGTGTATAGCCCTGAGTAACCTCAGTGCCCACAAAGTATTTTACAGTTCATAGTTTCTAAGCATGAAGGCAGCTTACAGAACTAAGTGAAAGTATTGAATAATAGTAAGGCTTTGGCTTCTGGAAAAAAAGAGAGTAATAGATGAAATTAGTTTAACCAACCTATAATACATGGACATGTGCATTGCCATAGCAAGCCATTTATATCATATTGTACACTTAAAAAATCATGAGAAAGTAAAACAGGCTACATTGGGGAGGTGGGTACCAACAGGAAAGGAAAGGCCAACAAAGACAGTATATGCATATAGTTGAAGTACGTTGGATGCTTGTATGAATGTAGAACAATGAAACCTGTTGAAATTGTTTGAAGGAGGAGGAAGAGGGAGGGAGGGAGGGAGACAGAGGAAGTGAGTCTGATCTGAGTACATTATGGGACTATTAGAACAAAATTGTCCCTGTATGATTAATGTATTCTAATAAGACATTTTCAAAATCAGAAAAAAAAAAACCTAGATATATAGTATGATACTCTCCGGTTCTGCTGGGCAGCGACTGGGTTGCAGCCTGAGGAAGCTACTGGATCACCTAGGTAAACATCTAGAACTCTACAGTATGTATGGTGTTGCTAAGCTATATTGGGGTGTTTATAGGGTGTTGCTAAGCTGTGGTGTTTGTAAACTTACAGTAAGTTCGTCATAATGTGATCCTATCACAACCAGCATTGTAAATGAAAGAATTTCTTTTGGTGTTAGTGGTATTTGAGTTCAAGGCCTTGTGTTTGCCAGGCAGGTATTGTACCACTTTGAGCCATGCCTCCACCTCTTAAGGTTATCAATAGGGTTATCTGTGGTTCTAGGCACCTACTGGGAAACCTAAGAACATATTCTACTCTGTGTCTAATGAAAACAGTCTTGTCTATTTTTTTCATTCTTTTATCCTCAATGCCTTGAATACTTTCTTACACATAATATTCACTCAAGTGCAGTAACTCATTATTTGCCTGTAGGTTGTTTACCTTCTGTTTTTGAATCCATCAAAAACCCAGAAGGAAGGAAGAAGTACTCGTAGCAACCAATATCTATGTCTTTCCCACCAAAGAGAACATATAGATGGCAAATAGCCACATAAAAAGATGTCAAATATGTTTAGCCATTAGGTAGATTCAAATTAAAACCACAGTGAGACATTACAGATACTACTATAAAAATGGCTAAAATAAAAAGTAAGAGGACCAGGTATAATGACTCACAGCTATAATCCCAGATACTCAGTAGGCAGGGGAAAGAGGATTGTGTACAAAAGCATGACCCTACCTAAACACACAAACTAAAAGCAAAAGGATGGAGTATGTGACTCAAATGAAAGAGTACTTTCCTAGCAAGTATCAGGCCCTGAATTTAATCCCAAATACTGCAAATAACAACAACAGTAGTAGTAGTAATAGTAATAGTAGTAGTAATAGTAGTAGTAGTAGTAGTAAATACAATGACCAAATGCTAGAGAAGAGGTTGTAGCATATTTAATGCATTGCTACTGAGAGTAAAATGATACAAGCCCTCTGGAACAGAGTACAACACTTGCCTACACACTGTCATATTGGAGCTTTTATGTCATAGAAATAAAAATATGTTTGCACCGACTTGTATGTGAATGTTCTTAAAAGCCTTATTCAAAGATAAATCAAAGTCCCCCAATTCATAAATGGTTAATCTATGATACATCCATATACCATTGTACAACACTTGGTCATCAAAAGAAATACTAAATTTCAGGCCAAGCACCAGTGGCTCATGCCTGTAATCCCAGATATTCAGGAGGCTGAGATCTGAGAATCACAGTTCAAAGCGAGCCTGGGCAGAAAAGTCCCCGTGAGACTCTTACCTCCAATTATCCACTGGAAGACCAGAAGCAGAGTTGAAACTCAAAGTGGTAGATAGAGTACTAGTCTTGAGCAAAAGAGCTCAGGCCCTGAGTTCAAGCCCCCCGACTGACAAAAAAGAAAAGAAAGAAAAGAAAAAAAAATACTGAGTTTCAATGGCAAAGATTTAGGATTCTCTCTCCTATGGGGTGACCCCTCGATCACTAGAGCCAGAAGTTCCAAATGCCCCTCCTCTTTCTCCACGCTAACTCCCTTACTAGAGAAGATTAGCTTCTCCAGGTAGAATACAAGTAGATCTGTGTTTACACCAAGACTTAGCACTCATAGTGCCAATCCCATCCTCACTACTTATTCTCTGTTTTGCTTGCCCGATCTATAAACTGGAGATGATAGCATGAGTCCTCAAAGGATTGTCTCAGCGTTGAATAATGCCACTGAAACATTTTTGACTCAGAACAGTGCCTGCTGATGCAAGTAAGAGCTTAATTAATTCACACTTTATAACCTGCCGTGGCTCTCATCCATGCACCGCCATGTTACAAGGAAGGCCTGTCTGGTGACAAAGTTAGTTGATACGCAATTACCTTGAGATTGATCAGGCGTAGGAGTCAATGCCCTGCTCTCATCAATAATCACCTCTAGCTATGACCTCATGCTTTCTGCTTGCACCATGGAAAGCACAAACTAGAAATACCTTTTCCTATGTGGTAGAAGGCAGGACTCCAAACCATGACTTGGGAGGGCTAGATGTACTTCCTAATTCCTCTGCCCTAATCTCCACCTTCATCTTTCCAGAATGCCAGCATTCTCATTCCCCATCTGCAAAATGAGAATGAGTTGCTATCAGACGGAAAAAGCCAGAGAAGGGCCAGCGCCAGTGGCTCACACCTATAAGCCTAGTTACTCAGGAGGCTGGGATCTGAGGGATCCCTGTTCCAAGCCAGCCCAGGCAGTAAAGTCCTGAGTCTGTGTCCAACGAACAATGAAAAAGCTGGAAGTGGAGTTCAAGTAGTAAAATGCCAGCCTTGAGTGATCAAATTAGGTTCAAGTCCCAGTACTAGTACCAAAAAGAAAAAGAAAAAGGAAAGACAGAAAGCATGGTGTAGTGGCAGCACTCTACCAAGGGCTGGTGCAAACGTGACTTCCATTTCCTGTCTGCAAGCCACACGCCTCCCGCCTCCCCATCCCTCACTTTCACTTCCAGAAGCACCATTGCACACCCTCTTGAGACTGCCACAGCTGGCCGGCCTCCAGGGGCAGGGAGCAGGTAGGTTTTACTTTGCCCCGCCCCCTGACTTGATGAATTCTTTTTCTCCTCCTCCAGGGACTTTCCTAACTTCCTTCTGAAAATGAAGGATGAGGCACATGAGCATACTGTATATAAATATGCTTGAGAAAGCTTTCTCCTTCTCCTTCTTCTTCTTTTTTTTTTTCTTAAGCCAAGCTTGGTTTCTGTTGTGGGCGGTGCATTCCCTAGCAGGGCTGGGCCAGCTGTACAGGACTCTCCAGGGGAAGGGTTTGGTGAGGAAAGGGGAGGAGAAGGCCCAGTGATTAACTCATCCAGGGTGAGAACTGCGGACTGCTCTTCTATTTAATGGGGGGGTCTCTGGCCAGGAAGACTCAGATGCACCTCCAGCTGAGCAAGAGCATGGCTGAGGAGTTGGGACTGGGCTTTGAAGAATCAGCCAGTGTGGACATGCTGCCTGGAGGCGGAGGCGGCAGTGGCAGCAGAGCCGGGCTAGAAGCCAGGAGCCACAGGCGGCCCTGGACTCTCACCTGCTGCCTGCTCTTGCTTCCCATTCTCACAGGACTCACCATCTATCTGCTCGTGGGCCAGCTCTGGGCCCAAGGAGAGGACTGCATTCTGGACCAGGTAAGCAACCTCGCTACTGCCCAGGGAATCCGAAGCCTTGGGCCAGCTGTGGCCACTGCTCTTGCTGTGGACAAAGCGAAGAGCTGGCATAGAACACGTTCCTTGTATGGTCTGGCAGAGGACTAACAGAACTAGAAGGTTTCCTCAGGATTTCCAGAAGAAAGGAATTCTCCCTTCTTCCATTTACATGGGAGCTCCTTTTCAAAAAAGAATTTGCAATCTTTCCATAATGATAAGTTAAGTACATTTCTTTAAAAAAAAAAAAAGAGAGAGAGAAGCAGCTTTTAAATACACAATCATTGAAAAAAATTAGAAATCACAGATAAGGCAATCCGAGAAAAATATCGCTCCTAAGTCCTTAGAAATGACAACGGTGAACAGTCGGGGGTTCTATCATTCTGTATTATGCGTAATAAGATGAGATTGTTGTAAGTTTCCACGGTGTGTTGTGATTTTTATGGTTGTGTTAATGAATGAAGGTCAGCATGAGGACACACGTGACCATCTTCCGACAGCACATGTGCCCTCTGATTCATTTAAACAACTCTGTGTCTGGGGCGTGGAAATGTTATTACTTGGTGTTCAACGAAGAACCTTCTGTTTGACTCCAAAGTCTTATGGGGTCCAGGAGCAAAATGGGTCACAAATAAGAGTGGAGCTCTTGGCAAACAACAGTGATGAGGGAGACAACACAGGTATCAGCAGAAAACTTGTTATTCAGGACTTGTGATTCAGAAAATACCCCAAAGCCTAAAGAATGTTATTTTAAGTCATGTCCTTGGTGGGGGGGTGATGGGGGGGGGGAGAGAATTTTCCTGCAGAAGTCTGATTTCAGTTAAGTTTGAAGAATTCAATTCTATAGGAGAAAATATTTGGTTTAATTGGAAACCTATCTCTCAGCAATCTTGTTCAGCCCCCAAGCTGAAAGCCACTGTGGCTAATGGGTAACACCCGCCACCCCACTCGGGTCAACAAACACGATGTGACTCAGTCAGCAGAGATCTTGGCCACAGGCCACGGCTTATAAAATGCAGAAATATGTCTACAACCCGGAAAGTCTGTTCCTGTTGAAGGTGAAGCTCTGGGCATGAGATAGCAGGCTGTGACCCCAGGACCCTCCCCAGCCTGGTTCCTATGGAAACCCAACCAACAAGTGCCTGGATAATGAATGCCCTAGGTCTCTCTCCAGCTCATAGGGGACAGCTGTTCTGGAATGAGGCAGTGAATGACCCCCCAGGATCTGGAGAGAATCCCAGAGCACAATGGGTCTCATTTCCCAAGACAATGTCCACAATCCCTAGGCCATTAGACAATACACGATCAAGGGAAGGAAGTTGCAGGCAGAGGCTCTTGATAGGCAGGAATTCAGGGAAGAAAGGTGTCAAGTGCTCAATTCCACATCTCAACGCCCTCCCCTCAGCTGACCCCTCAACTACTCTTGGAAACTAGTCTCCCTGGAAGTAGCCAGGGAGGCTTGTTTGGGGCTTTTTTAATGAAATTATGGAAGAAAAGGATGAGGTAGGCGTGAGGCTAAGGACACATGTAGTAAATGGGGGCCTGAAAAGAAGCATCTGCCACTCAAAGAAGACAGTTTGAAGGAGAATGATTACAGAAAAAAGTTTTTAAATGGGGGGATAAAAGAATGGGCCTCTTTTCAGAGGTGCCCAGGTCGATGGGAGCTAAGAGGACTAGATGCAGTGGGAAGCCAGCAGTGTGCCATCTCGGGCATGACAGGGAAATGAGAGCCTAGAAGAGGGCCCAGTTGAAGGATTGGAGGGCTGGGTAAAGAAAGGCCATCACTGCAAAGCAGCAGGGAACATGTAGAACCAGGCAAGGAACACTTCCCATTCTCCCCAATCAGCCTCTGATCTCATTGAGCAGACTCAATGAGAAAGAAAACCAGGCCAGAGGATGTCTCAGATACCTGGATTTGAAACTTAGCCCCTAGCTATGTGTCTTTGAGCCCATTCCCTTTTCTACTCTGACAGCTCCATAAGGCATGTACAGGGGTATCTCAGGTATCTAGAATATCTGCCACAGCTCTTGGAATGTGATCACTCACTCAGTCATCACTACTGAGGAAATGGTCCTGGGCTCTGAGGAGCTTCCAGTCTGTTACGTAAGACGAATAAGGAAATAAATTACCCAACAGAGAGGTGCTATGGAATTCTAGATGCTCTCCTAGTCTAACCACAGGGGTGAAGGCAATCCAGGGAAGGTTTTCCAGAGGAGGCAAAAGTAATTATGGTAGAAGGCTGTGCACAAGAGCTAGGTCAAGAAACTCAGTAGAGCTAAAAACCACCAAACAACAGGCCATTGGAAGTATAACAAGGCCTTTGAAGGTTATCTAGCCTATCATCCCTTGTTTTATAGAATAGAGAGGCAGGGAGCATGAAGAGATCTATCCAAGCCTGTATCTTTAGTCAGTGACAGAGCCAAGACTTGAAGCCTGACCACTTGCTCTGGGCAAGTTCATGCCTTGCTAGTTCTAGCCAGTCACATGACTTCCTAACATCCTTGAGGAAGGCAGCCATAATGATCATCAGTACATCCTCCAGCCATCCCCCCAACAAGTTACTTCCCATACCAAATCTGTTCACCTCAGAGTTTCTCACCCAGGACTCCTGCCTCAGGGATATTTAGAGTTGCCCATATCTTTCTAAAGAGGAATGAAGATTAAAGAGGAAGCCCAGCATGCTCATATTGCAGAAATATACTTAAAAACAAAATTATCTGCCAACAAAGGTAGTAGGCAAACAAGTACTTTTGCGTGTGTGTGGGGGGGTGTGGGTGCACTTGAATTTGGGGCCTCATACACCCAGATTTTCCTCTTAGGGCTGGCACTCATCAGTCGAGCTATAGCTCTACTGGCTTTTTGGTGGTTAATTGGAAATAAGAGTCTCATGGACTTGTCTGCCCAGGCTGGCTTTGGACTTCCATCCTCAGATCTCAGCCTCCTGATTAGCTAGGATTATGTGAGTCACTCACCAGCACTTGGCCAAGAAAGTATTTTTGTTATTAAGTCTCAAACCAAGATTTGAAGAACATCACAACTACTCAGAGATTTTAAAGGCCCAAATAAATCACCTTTCTATACAGGCAAGCAGATGCAACTCATACAAGTTAAGTAGAAAGTGCCAAATGCACCACAGCATACATACTACCGTACTCTTCATTTTATGAAACAGTCACCTATATGAACGCGTTTATTAATACAGAGAATCTTAGGAAGAACTCAGGAGGTATAAGTGGTACTGTGGCTCAAGTGGTAGGGCACTAGACTTAAGCAAAAGAAACTTAGGAGGCATGCTCAGGCCCTGAATTCAAACTCTAGGACTAACAAAAAGAAAAAGAAAAAGTGAAGAACTTAGAAGTTAGTAACTGCTAGCATCCAAGTAGGAGAGCTATGTGGCTGCTAGAATACAAGGAAAGATAGGGGGATAGGACCTTGAAAAATCTATCCTCCTTTTATAAAATGTGTAACTCATATATAAAAATACAGTGGGAGCCAACCACCAGTAGCTCGGCCCTATAATCCTAGTGATTCGGGAGGCTGAGATCTAAGGATTGTAGTTCAAAGCCACCGTGGGCATGAAAGTCCTTGAGACTCTTACCTCCAATTAATCACCCAAAAAATTGGAAGTAGAGCTGTGGCTCATAGTGGTAAAGCATTAGCCTTGAACAAAAGAGCTTAGGGACAGCACCTAGGCCCTGAGTTCAAGCCCCACAAACAAAAACAACTACTACAAAAATACAGTGAGAGTAAAATGGTATTGGCTCTTTAGATTTGTGGGGAATATCAGGCAGATATGCATCTTGGAAAGCTTGTAAGTCAAAAGGTCAAACCTGGTCTGAATCCTGGCCTGCCCATTTGTTAGCATGTTACCTCACCTCCAGGGCCTTGGCTTGTTTATGTATGGAGATGATTGGAAAGAAGGTCTTCAAGGTGTCTGGCAGAGGTGGAGATTATAAATGGGAGCGATTGCATCATTATGGCCAGGGAACTTCCCTGCTCAGGGAAAATTACATCACCAGGGACAACTTCTCCACCTGCTCTGGAATCTGCCAGTGCCAGGCAAGAGCAGGTTTGGATACTTTAGGGCTGCTTGGTGTTTGGTGCCTCCTTCACCTTTCCAGTCTTTCCCTTCTGCTACAACCCCACCCTTCCCCAACATCCATCCTTTACCCCCATCTCATTTGGCTATGGCCTGGGCATCCTTTAGGCCATTTAGTGGTTTTCACTGACCCCTCCACCCATGGGTTTATAGCCACTCTGGCCTACAAGTGTTCTAAGGGTGGCCCCTCATTTTCACTGGGTGTGGCTCCTGGGCTGGCACAGAATGGTAATCCTTCTGTGCAGCCAATCGTAGGCTGCAGAGGAGGGCTTCCTGCCCAGGACTGCATCACTACTATTTTGTTTATTTATTTTATTGATACCATTTCTGGACCTTGAACTCAGGGCCTTGCACTCACAGTTAGCTTTTTACTGACCCTCTACCACTTGAGTCATAACTCCCTTTCTGGGTTTTTGCTGGTTAATTGGAGGTAAGCATCTCTAGGATTTATCTGCCGAATCCTCATGCTCACATTTCAGCCTCCTGAGTTAGGTAGGATTACAAGCATGTGATACTAGTCCCCAGCCCACTGCTGACTTTATCCCTCCTTGCAGGTCAGATTTCTAGAACCGTCTGCATACAATCTTCCCACACTTCTTGGTTCCCTCTGGTCTTACTTTCATCCCTTCCTGAAAATCCCTGCAGGACTCTTGGCCTCTGCTCCCTGTACTCTTCTTCTCCCTGCCCCCTCCTCATGCTCCTGAGACCCCTTGGTCTCCTCCCAGACCAGAAACATCCCATTGTGATGCCAGCTCATACCTCAGAGTCACAGACTTGGCCCAACCATAACACAGCCATGACAGCTTCAGTTATTATCTACCAGACATGCCAGGCTCAACCTCTCCATGTTTATGGTTGTGAGAACAGTAAATGAAATCAGACCTATGAAGTGCTTAGTAGATACCTGGCACATTGACATATGTTTGTTAGTATCACTACAGGCATCTACCATCTCAACAAATGCTTGACATCACACAGCAAGTGACATGCTCTTATTATTCGCATTTTAGAGATCATGAAACTGAGGCTCAGGTGAGTTAAGCAGTTTTCCCTAAGTCACAGTGAAAGAGTAGGATGTTGGGATTCAACCCCAATCTATATGTTCTTTCTAACCACAATGTTCATCTGCCCAACCTCTTGGGGGTAGTCAGAAGGATTTAACCCTGAAAAGTCTGGCACATAATAGGTGCCAAATAATGCCAGCTCTCTTTCCTTCCCCCAAAGACGTTTTCCTGTGCCTGGTACACAGAAGGTACTAGCTAAATGTCTTCAGGATGGAGAAAGGGATAAAGGGATGAGAGGGGTATCACATGTCTCTGAGCCTTAGACTCATTGTTCACAAAAATTAAGGAGGTAATGAATTTTGCTTATAGCACTGTGGGAAGAATTCTACAAGATATTCAGAAAGCTATTGTCAAAGGGTAGATGGTCTACAGACAATGTTTCTCTAACCACTCCACCTTGGATATACCCCCTTCCTATCTCACTCAATTGTTTCCTCTTTTGGAAGAAAGACAATAGCAATAATCCTTTTCCAAGGTTTTCTAGAAACAGAAAGAAAGCCTAGATGACAGCACTCAGTGTACACTGTAGAATGTTGATTTCTCAGTGGAGCTGCCCCTGCTGTAACCTCAGGAAACCCCATACACCTGGAAGAGAAGCCAGCTCCTGCCCTGGTCCAGCTGTGAGCAAAGGACAGGGAGGCCAGCCACAGAGCAGGTATACTGGAAATGCAAAGCCAGGAAGAGCCAGTGAGCTGAGGGGAGGGAGGGGGGGGACTCCAGATGTCCACAGCTGCAGGCCACATCTGGTCACTGCAAGATCCACACATTCACCTGTTAAATGTTAGCCGCACATCTCCAAGTACCATGGAAGCTCACCACACTTCTGCCTCCTCACCTGGCAGTGCCCACCCAGCTGTGGCATCAAACTGGCTATCCCAAGACTCCTCTCCTGCCAGCCTCCTTTGTGAAATATAGCAGCAGCAAGCTGCAATAGGAAAGGGCAGTTCCATTTCCTACACCCTTTTATCCAGCATCCAGAAGCAAACCACAGGGTACATGGGTGGGGGGGGGGGGAGGGCGGGAGATGTTTTCAGAAATAGGGAGACCACTCAAAACACCCCAAGTAATCCTACAACCTGTTGTTGTCTATTGAACAGAAATAAAAGGAAGGCTTTGGTTTACAACTGAAGTTCTAAGACCAAAGAGAGGAATGTGCTAACAATACATTCCATAAGTTATTACTCCCAAAAGAAAGAAGGAAATGAATTGGACCACCACTTTCTGTGTGGGGGACTTCTGGAGTCCTGGGAGGGGTTTAACTGATAGGTCAGGATCAGAGTGTTGGGAAATAACAGAGTTGGGATTTCCAAATTTGCTCTTCTCCATGCCAGGCTCAATGTAGCATGGAAAATCCAGGACATCTCAAAAGACAATGAAATAAAATGACCTGGGAATCAAATATATGCAGGTAGAATTCGTCCACAGTGAGAAGCAAAAGGAAGAGACAAGGAGGCAGATGTCTGCATGTTTCTCTTCGAAGTGCCAGAGGATGTTACGGGCTGTGAAACTTTTATACCTTGGCAATTGTAGGATTTATGACAGCTAGAAATGAATCTGGCCTCCTGTTTATGAAAAGATATAGCAACTGACTAGAGAGCATGAGAAGAGAAAGGGTAAGTGGGTCATTAGTTAAAATGGACTCCAGGGGTTTTTCTGGGGAAATACCAGGAAATCTCAAGACCATCTTTCCTCATGTTCATTCATCTGCTGCTCTCCTTTTGTTAATGTTTAAGGATCTCCTGATATATCCAGGAACTATACTTGGTCCAAAGGTTCAGATCCCAGGTCTTCTATTTCACTTTAACCTTCCACAGCAGCTTAGTATCTTTAAGCTCCCATGACAAAAATCTGATTAATAAACAAAATAATAAAGAAGGTGGTACTGGCCCTGCTTTGAAGTAGCTGGAACAACCAATGAGGATCATTATTTCTGGACTGCTTCTCCACCCTTCCTCAAAAAAAAAGTCAGCAAAGTTGCTGATGTTAAGCAAGTATTCAGCAATTAGGTTTAGATTGTCCAACCGTGTTACCGTACAGAATGGTTAAGCAAGTATTCAGCAATTAGATTTAGATTGTCCAACCGTGTTACCGTACATAATGTCTTCATTCAGCAGCAGTGAGTCTTACAGTTTTCCTCTTGTTCTTCCAGGCTTCCTTACTCTTGCACAAGCTGTGGGCCTTTTGTGGAATGGTCATTGCCTCTTTTTATCACCCAGCTAATATCTGTAAGACCAATGATATTCAGTGTAGGGAAATTTCCCTGGATACTCCCACTTCTGGGCTAAGCCTCTGTTCTCTGAACTTTGGGATTTGCTCCACTGTCCCCATGGGTGAAACTGCTAATACTTATCTTCTACCTTACCAGACCAGAGGCTTATCCCAAAGTGATAAGGCACCATGACATAAAAGAAGGCACCATCGCTGAGGGCTTGGTATTCTGGAATTACCTGGCCTGAATTGAAAGCCACTATTACATAGGATCTGAAATGACCACACACTTGAATTGCAGGGAAACTAGGATTATAACCACAAACCTAGGTTGCATAGAAACAAGAAAAAAAAATGGATGAGACTGATGAGAAGGAGAATAAGGCCTCTATTTCTTTTTGTGTATCATTTTTTTCATGAGTTGTTCCAACTTTCAAATCAGGATGGGGAAAAAAAATAAATCAGTTGCCCTTATTTGTTCAAACAGCAGAAGCAATGACAAAATGCTGAAGCCTCCTAGAACAGAACAGGAAAAGCTTTTGCTAAAGAACTACAAAGGTGAGATTTTGAGATAAGCATAAGAGAAATAAAGGCCAGTAGGAGTTCTGAAAGAAGAAAATTAAGAGTTGAGTGCAAGATTCCCACAAAGCAAAATATTTTCATTCCATTTCTCTCACGGAGGAGGGAGGCTCCAGGATAGGTAACAGCTGTGCTATGGGCATGCTATGGGCAGCTTTGTGGGGCTGGGGTCAGAAGGTGACAGGTGGTCTGACCTATATCTTTCTTTCTCAACAGATCCCAAAAGAAAAGGCGTTTCTACCTTTACATCAGCGAGCCTGTACGTATGTCTACCTTGGCCTTCTTTATTGTGGGGAACAACAGTATTTCTAGTAGTTATGGGAATATTGGAAATAAAGTTGCTAAGCAAGGGATTCAAGCTCAGAGACATGTTAATTACAAAAAACAAAATGGAGCAGAAGGACTAAACCCTAACCCAGCTTTGGAATTTGTTGTCAGCATGACCTTTCAGCAAATACTTCTACCTCTGATTGGATCTCCATTTATTTACCTTTTAAGATGGTTATATCATTAAAGTTAGCATGAACTAGTTAGCTTTGAAAAGGATGAGAACAATTCCTAGCACATCAAATTCACAGAGACATAGATTTGAGGTGTGTTTTTTTAATCATCATCATCTTTCTCAGGACATTTGGAACATAGTTCAATACAATCATCTTTGAGAGCCAAAGGAAATGTTGAAGGTCTTGTCAAGAACTGACAGGGAAACAAAAGTCCACAGAGGGCAAAGGACCATGTAACTGCAGAGAAGATCCATGTATCCCCTATTCCATTTCTACTGGGCCAGCTATATGCCCCAGTGCAAAAGCCAGTTCACACTCATGATAGCAGCATGAAGGAAGGGGCAGCTCACGAGTTTCACTGAGCACTGATCATGTACTATGCCTCACGCAAGGCGCTCTTAAGACAAGGTAGAGATTACTGTGCCCATCTTAGAGATAAGACAGTGTCCCAGACTGAATAGCTTGCCCAAAGTCCTGGGGCTGAGATCCATTTGTACTTAAGATTCTTTCTCTGGACTCCCCCCTGTTCCCGGGGCCTGTACTACAAAAAGTACCACATGCCATTCCAAAAATCCACACAGGGTGTAACTAGACCCAGCTAGATAAGATCCCTGGGTTATCTTCCACCACAGGTGCCATCCAACTCCCAGAATGCTGTCTTGACTCCCATCGCCCCTACACTCATGCAAAGTGCATTTCTCCTTTGGTTTCAGACATGCCGCCACCCAGAGCAGACGGAGGCAAGCCCAGGGCACACCTGACAGGTAAGCATCCCTGGGTTTTCTTAGACACCATGGGCCATCGTTGGGGGAGATTTTCCAGTGCAGTAATCAAAACTCTCACTAGGGTTTTCCAACTGGAAAACACAGCCCTTGGTAACAGACTTCACAATCCAAGATCTTTTTTTTTTTTTAGATGACTTCATCCACTAGGAAGGCACCAATGGTCTATGTCTCTTGGTACTTTCTTCCTGATTCTGTCAGCCTTCTTCCTTTCTTTTCTGCCCATCTCTTGCATTCACACACCCAGTCAATCCAGAATGACTTTTTTTAATCTTGGAACTTTGAATAATCCAGTTCAACTGGTCCCTTGAGTTTAATCATTTTATCCCTGCCAGGTCAAGACAGCTTACTGGATATTTGTAATCAGGAAGGTGTTTCTAAAGAATTTCTATGGATGTGATTATATTGAGAGGGAAAGCACAATGACACCAGTTGGCTAGTTCCCAAAGTCTAACTTAGAAGTTCTAGGTACCTCGTATCTGGAGTTTGTTGATCTCTAAGATTCCAGAAGACAGCAAGGCAGTACAGAAATATGTATACAATTGATTGAAGATAATGGAAGGTATGGCTTAAGTGACAGAGCACCAGCCAAGCAAGTAAGCCAAGTGAACATAAGGCTCTGAATACAAACCCCAGTACTATCAAAAAGACAGACGGAAGGAAGGAAGGAAGGAAACCCATCAAGAAACTAGAAAGTTAAAATGCAAGCTTACTTTCATAATGTATGAGAAAATGTGATCTGCAGGGGAAATGTAATCTGAGGTATTTGTATTACTATTTGACTAAAACAAATTCATTAAAACACAGGGAGATACCAACTTAACATCACTTTCTCTTGCCTATAAGAAGGAGGTTTGAGCATGGGTGACTCGCACCTGCAATTCTAGCTACTCAGGAGGATGAGATCTGAAGATAGCAGTTCAAAGCCAGCCCAGGCAGACAAACCCAAGAGATACTTTTGTCCAATTAATCAGCAAAAAGCTGGAAGTGGAGATGCAGCTCAAGTTGTAGAGTGCCAGCTTTGGGGAAAAAAAAAAAAAAGGAAAAGCATGAGGTCCTAAGTTCAAGCCCTAGAACTAGTACAAATCCCGCCCCCCCCCCCACGTGTCCCTCCCAAACTCCCCCCCCCCCCCCACACACACACAAATAAAATGAGGAATTAACCAGGCTGGACAAGAAAATCCTATGGAGTTATCACTCCACTTTCTATGAATAAGAGATCTAAGAACTAGAGAGCTTCTTCTAGCTCTCAATATGAGACAGGTACTGTAGTAGGCCTGCCTTGATTTCCACTATGTCATTTAGTCTGCATGAATCCAATTAAATTAGGAGTGGAGTGTTTCATTATTGACAGAGAAACTGAGGCTTAGACAATTAAATTGACACATCCCCAGGGAGATGACCAGGAGGCAGAGGGTTCAGATGTAAGCTAGCCTCTCCCAACCTCAGTTCCCATTGAAGCCTTCCTCCTATCCGGATGCCTGCCTCTGCTGTGCAATGCACATTAATGCAATGCTTGCCTGTCTCGATGGATTTTTTTTTCATTATCTACAAAGAAACTAAGAAGAAGCAAAACTTACTAGAGTAGCCACAAAAAAATGGGGTAGAGTTTATCAGAGGTGGCTGATAATAATTCCTTAGATGGAAAGAGATATCAGAGCTTTCCAGGGGCATTCAGGGTCATCTTTCAGGGCCAGAGGAGTGGGACTAGTTTCAAAAGAAACTAGAGTCTGGTTGATAATGGGAAAGATACTTTCAAAAGCTCAGGAATTAGATTTGTGAGGCACTGAGCATGCAGGCTGCCAAGTGTTTTTGGTTTTTTTTTTCTTTTTATACATAACCAGTCCCCCGAGCTGTAGTGTCAGTTCATAACAGTGATTGCTGTAGGTTTCAAAGGCAGTCAGGGGAAATTAAAATATTTTCATTTATCCTGAAAATCGTTCTATTGCAAATGGCCTTATGTTAAATAGGTAGTTTGAATCAAGTTTGCTTCTATTTCTTTTCTTTTCCTGTAGGTAGTTTCCATAAAAACATTCATTAATACATTCTATATAATGTAGACTTAAGGGCAATGTGAGCATCTTAACATATGAAAACTATAAAATGAAATAGGATTATTTTTAAGCTGTGAAAATGAAAGATGCTGGTGTATTCAAATGAATAAAAATTGAGTATAACTGAGTCCAGTCATTGTGATAAAAATTGACCATGTCTATTCTATTCACTGAATCTTCAGAACAAGACTAAAAGAGTTCTAATCCAGTTTACACACAGGAAACTTGGGCTCAGAGAAGGGAAAAAGCCTATACAGTTGATAAATGAGCTAAGTGTGTTGTTGGTACTGGGCCCAAGTGGCCCAGAGCTCAGGTTCCTTCCAGTCCCACAAGTCAATTACACTAACTTATATTTGGACTCTAATGTGATAGAAGAATTGCCAAAATGTTTGGGGCCTCTGGTTCCAATATGTCCTACAAAGTAATTCTTTATTGGTTACTTGCCTGTTTCCTGTGACTTTAGACTACATTAAAATTCCATGATCTTTCCATTCCCCCTGCCCTTTCCCTCTGTCTCTCTCTTGCTCTTTCTTTCTCTCTTTTCATCTCTCTCTCCCTGCCTCCCCTCTCCCTCTATCTTTCTCATAAATGTGAATGTAAGCTGAGTTCCAATGGGTCACGCCTGTAACCCTAGCTACTTAGGAGGCTGAGATCTGAGGATCTTGTTCAAAGCCAGCCTGAGCAGGAATGTCCATGAAACTCTTATTTCCAATTAACCACCAGAAAAAGGGAAGTGGTGCTGTGGCTCAACATGGTAAGAGCTGTAGCCTTGAGCATAAAAGCTCAGGGACAGTGCCCAAGCCTTGAATTCAAGCCCCACAATTGAAAAAAAAAAAAAGTGAATGTAGTTTAGGAGATACTCCTAATAGCTAGGGATTTTATACTCACCACAAGTATTACTTTGCTTTTCTAAAGGAAAGACCTGTCAAATTAAAACAAACATTAAGACATTACATAGATTATTGCTAAAGGAAGAGGGAGTTAGAGAGTCACAAACTCTGTATTTGTGGGAAAATAATTCCAGGAACCCTACAGGACTCCAAAGTCAAGGACATATGATAGAAAATTACATATTATTTACATACAACCTATGTACATCCTCCTTTATAGTTTAAATCATGCTAGATGACTTACAATGCAATGTAAATGTTGTATAAATAGTTGCTATAGTGTATTTGTTAGGGGAAAATGAAAAGAAAAGCTCTGGAGTAGCTCAGTACAGGCATCCTGTTTTTCTCTAATTGTGAGGTCCTCCTCAGTTGATTGAATCTGTAGTTATAGAATGAAGGATAGAACGATGCTGTATCGTACTTGGAAAAATGCTGTGACAATGAAGTCTATAGATTTTGCAAGAAATCAGGCTTAAAAGGAAGAAAGAATCAGGTGAGAAGGAAAGGGTAAATGAGTGGCATTATTGGATCAGCGACTATGTTATCCAAAAGCCAGCCTGGTCTCAGGAGTGGCTGTGTACTTCTGGGGCTGGGAGCAGCGTGAAAGAAGCAAAGAAGCCTAGTCAAAGTTTAGCCAGTCACAGGTTTTTCTAAATAGTCAGTACAGAAAAAAAATAGAATAGGAATTTGGCAGCTCTTATACGAGGCACACAAGAGAACATCTGGGAGAGTCTCTCGGGTATTTGAGGGAAGACAGTAACTAGCAGTAAGCTGTTTTCTGGACCATAGATTTCTGAACCTTCACTATGCCCTTGTAAAATACGAACTCTGAATTTTGAAAAAGGTAGCTTATCTGGAGCCAAACCTTGAATGACCATTCGCTAGAAACACAAACTCAAGCTACCAGCAAACAAAGAGGCCTGCTGTGAGCTTTTACAATCACAGTGGAAAGAAAGTAAGGGGTCACCTACTTTGTAGGTGGACAACAAAGACTGAGATCTCTGCTGTAAGAGTCAGATGTTTTCACTCACAAGGTGAAGAATTCTTCACCTTGGATTCAGGATTCAGATGTTATCAAATGCTTAGCTTTAGCGGTGGTAAAAGCCAGAGATCTAAGAAGCTTAGGGAGTATTAGGAGAGTTTTATGTACTAATCACAAAAATGTTGCATTGGATTTAGAGGTTGATGTTAGAGGACTATGAAAAGAGACTAAAGATTGGCCTGAGATAATTTCTGCTGCTTGATCTTGCACAGTCCCTCTCTCTATCATTGTGACGCTCCATCAGGAAAGGTAACACAATACACACCATGAATACAGATGTCACTTAGGGCTTCAATTCACTGTGGGTTTTTTGCCCAAAATCAAAGGGCCCAGTGAAGATTCAGAACTGTTCAGTCATAGAACTTGGCCTCGGAGAGGTGAAATCATTTTGACCAGGTAGATTACACAAATGTCACTGTCTGAACCAACATACACACCCAAGTATCCTTCATTCATTCCTCTGGGTGGCTATTGGTTGTTTATTCATTTTGTTTAACGATACAACATGCTTTATTATTAAGGTCTACAGGTTAGAAGTTTCACAGGTTCTCCTAAGAGCCAATTAATCCCTTTTATATTTTTGCAGTTATAAAACAACCTCCCACACACCACTTGAAAGACCAGTTACAGGCTATGCACTGGGAGCATGAGCTGGGCTTGGCCTTCACCAAAAACCGGATGAACTACACCAACAAATTCCTGGTGGTCCCAGAATCAGGAGACTACTTCATTTACACCCAGATCTCATTCCGAGGGACCTCCTCTGAGTGTGGTAACATAGATCAAAGAAAACAACAGAATAAGCCAGATTCCATTATTGTGGTCATCACCAAAGTAACAGACAGGTACCCTGAGCCCTCCCAGCTCCTCATGGGGACCAAGTCTGTGTGTGAAATAAGTAGCACCTGGTTCCAGCCCCTCTACCTCGGGGCCATGTTCTCCTTGCAAGAAGGGGACAAACTGATGGTGAATGTCAGCGACCTCTCTTTGGTGGATTACACAAGAGAAGATAAAACCTTCTTTGGCGCCTTCTTGTTATAGAATCAAAGCAGACATCATTGTGAAAGGGTCCCTGTCTTTTGTCCTCAATTTTCTTTCTATAGACACAATTCTTGGAGTTAAGGGTAGAGCGCATTCTATACAGTCAAGAGGTTAGCCATGAAATTTAGGACCCCAAAGTCTGCCTTTTGTGTGCCTTCCTGGTGAGAATATGAACTGGAAACAAAGAAGAAATGAGCAAATGCTGCAGTTGCTGGAGGAGTATTGGGGTTTCTAAACACTGAGACATTACTCAGAAAAAGAACAGACGGTCAACTCCAGTCAAGATTTAAAGAATGTTTCTATGCTTTCCAGCTACACACTTGTCACCAGTAGTCCAGTCCTGTTTGAATTTGATTACAAATTTACTTTAGCTCAACAGCTTTGGACAACATCCAAAGAAACTCCAAGGGGAAGAAAAGTAAGCCCTTCAGAGGCCAGGTACTTTATCAGTATTTCCACATACTTTCATGCCAATCCTAAAAGAAAATGAAAGGAGAGCTGCTATTTCTCATGAATGTTCTCCTGAAAGGAAGTGGTTTTCATGCCATATGTGGCCTATGAGAAAAGCTACCTTTCTTTAGATTATATATACAACTATCAAAATAAACAAGTGTGAGTTACATACTCATATCAAAAATGCAGTAATGCATATTCACCATTGTCAGCCGTGTTCCTGAATGCCTGTTATGTCCTGGGCACTCTTTAACCCAGAAGACACTATGAAGAACACATCAGTCTACTCACAGCTTAGATAAATACTACTAGATGCCTCCTGGTCAAATTCAATCAACATACTTCAAAGATAACTGGGAGTCCTGGAGGAAAAAATCATCCAAAAAAATGTTATTTTGGGCATTGCCCTTTGTAAGCTACCCATCTGAATATACCACTCAAGAAGACAAATTTCTAGCAAACTAGACCAACTCTACAACAAATTTGACTGATGTCAAGAAACAATAGACTTGTTCTCTAGGAAGAAAACAAAGATATCAATCATCTGATTCAGAGACATTTATCTGGGTCTGCTTTGAGGGTTGATTTGCAACTTTAAATGCACATTATTATGTGGCTATTTGTCCCTTAAAATATTCAAAAGGATTTAACTATGGGATTAGCTAATCATCCTAGCCAACGTCTCTTTAAGGAAGATACTAAGGTCTGTCTTAATGAATGAATAGTCTTGGTAGAACGATTTTCCTTGTGTGCTTTTCCTATGTGCTGGGCAGAGAGGGACAGCTTTGTTCTCTCAGTCCTTGTTGGCTGCTTTATCAAGCAGGAATCTACTAATTTGTTTTCCAGGATCAGATGAGCTCATTGAAATGAAATGGGTTAACTTCCTACATTCTATATAAGAAGTAACTTTCTACCTTCCAGGGGAGCATTTGGGAATGCCATATTTGGTTAAGCCCAGCACCACGGACTGTATTATCCTTATCATGAGAGAGCCTCACAGATGGGTCTAAGAGTATACTTGGCCCCTAGAGATCACTGTTACACTGGTTTCCAGGAAAACTATAAGCAGAGAGAGAGAAAGAGAAAGACAGAGACAGAGAGACAGAGAGAGACAGAAACAGAGAGGCAGAGACAGAGAGACAGAGATGATGTGGACTTTGAACATAATGACAGATAGAGTCAATACTTGTTGAATAACAATTCAGTGAAAACTGATTTCCAGATGATCAGTTGAAAGGCTTTCGAAGGTCTGCTAAAGCTAAATTACAACGGGCCATCTTGCTCCCTTCAGCTTTCCAAACAGCACAGACTTCTGAGAGCAGAGAGAAAAAGGGGTGTGGCTTCCTCCACCTGGTTCACTGAGCCTTCATAAAGGAAGTGAAGCCTGAGAGAAGGTGGGTGGCCTCCCAGATGACCACAGGGAAAGGGCACCTTAGAAGGAGGAATTACCCTTTGCTTCAGAAGAAAGGAAGGCTTGACACGAGGACATTGCCTCACCACCCCTGAGAACAGCATTGTCACCAACACTAGTCTGACTACCATCAGGCTACTATCCCAGTCAGTCAGAAAATCAAAGGTTTTGTCTGCACCTGTCAGTCACCACAATGCAAGAGAGCATCAAGCATCTTATACTTTCTAGGAAAGGATTTTCCCAGAAGCAGCCTGGAGATGGGCGCTTCTTCTCTACCATTAAAGGGAAGCCTGTGTGTAGATAGCTTCCAAACCAATCCATGAGGGGATCTGGTTGTTGGGATGTTTATCCAACACAAGAATTTCCTGTTACCCTGAAGAATGTGGCTGAAGTTTTCACTGCTGGTTTTGTTCAATTCTTAACAATATTCTCTTTACTATTCAGAAAAGCATAGCCAAACATTCCTAACAGGACTCAAAGTAGAACTTTTGTTTCCAAGGCATCATTTTTTAGAAGCAAAATTAGTAAAGTATTTTTTTAATGGATGGGGAAAAAATGCTTTAAGAACATGCGAGGATCCCCTGAAAGGAGTTCCTGGGGTATCACTCAAGGATTTGGGAGAAAAGGAACATGCTTTATAAAATAGTTAATTTAGAGAGGAAATGCTTTATTGATTAGGTATCTCAGAAATAACTAAGTTAAATCAATCCTACAGACATTTACTGAATGCCTCCTTACCCTACAGACAGAGTAATAAATTATTTTAGCCTACAAGGTGCTCTTTCTAATTGTTAAACACCTATGTTATCAGAGTTTTTAATTTATTCTGGTTGTTTTAGCTAATTAATTAGCTAACTTTAGACAGATTGATATTTCCTTATGGAAATGTGTACCATTTGATGGAGGATAACCACTAACAAAATGATTTGTATTTACTTTAACTGGATTTCTTTTTATAACTAAACAAAAAAATTGAGAACAAGATACTATTTCCTATAGTAACAATTATCATACAAGCAATATGTAGACAGAGAGAGGTTCATATTTTCTGGCCTCAACTTCAAAGATGACCCAGAGATACCTTGAAAAGTCTACATTCCATGATCAAAATTAATGGCTCACCAGAACTTTTACCTTCATATACTTTAGGTCTCTTTGCAAAACAGAATTGCTGAGCCACTAAAATTTATTTCTTTTTCTTTACTAAGGTACACTAGGAAAACTAAAAAATGTACCTTTTCATATACTGAAATATACCATGTTTAGTTTTAAAACAGGACCTGTTTTAGTTCTAATACCAGAACCCTTGGCTATATTTCAGTCTAAGTTATGCCACCCCAGAGAAAATTCTAGCTTTATGCTTATAAATACTCGTCAGGATTATAAAGTTCAACTGGCTGCTGGCCATTGCTAGCAATTTATTGCAAGGTATTTTCTCAAGTTCTTTCTCAATCATGTGTCCATGGTTAATTTTTAAGAATCTAGTCATAGCTTTGCCTTCCAAAATACAAAAAGATGTCTCTTGCCTCAAATTTCCTGCTTGTTTAGGGCCTAGAGTTCTGGGAATTTTTTTTTCCCTTTTCAGTAGGGGTCTCTTTAAGCATAACATTATCCTGAATATTAATAGTGTTAAAGTCTTTGGAAATTTCAGTGAATTATTTTTGATCCTCAAATCTTTCCCCAGTACTAAAGGATATAGGTTAAAGAAATCACATTCCTATCTTGTTCCACTCTGACACCCATGGTTACACCTTCCCAAGCTCTAAAACACCTCACCCTTCCTCTATCACCCGATTTTAAGAGGAAACAAAGGCACCAGCCTAGATAGAAGTCATTTGTCCAGAACCTCACCCTGACAGACGGAGAGCTCAGATTCTGTCTTCTGGAACCACAAACCTACTTCATCCCATTGTCTACTCTAGGAAAATATTATTCAATTTAATGATTAGAGGGGACTTTCAGTGAAGATAGAGATATTTTCAAATATCCATGGGGCACGGTAGAGGCAATTAGACTTCTTTGAGTTATACCCAGAAGAAAGAGCTGAGAAAAAAGAAGTCCCTTCTCTGGCTTCAGACCCAAATGCACATTCTGCCCCCAGATTGATTGTTTCCAGGTACTGATTTCTCTTTCCCTGGAGATCCTCAAGCAAAAGACTTATTCCAAGAGTTGTTTAGAAGTCATTGTTTCTTAGAAGTTAGGGAAAGGATCAACGAAAGGATTTCTAAATTTTTTTTCCCAAGTCTATGACTATGTGGCTCTGTTAGAGCACGCTTCCATGTGTTCTGTTAGAGTGTGATGGACCTGAAAACTCAAAGACTTCAACAGTTCCAAACCTAGCAGCTCACTGGTGAAGAATGTATCGGACACCAAGAGCCTGAGGTCTTGCCAAGAGAGGAGTTCATATAATTTGACAAATGACTTGATTGTCAAGTTGCATTGAAACATGCAGACTAGAATTCCTATCTTTCGTCACCAAGCCAGCCATCTTTCATTTGCATCCATGAATTGTTTATTTTCTTTGAACATCTGTCATATGACAGTACATATTACGTAGATGCTGGCAAGCAGGAAGGAAAATTCCTACTCTTATAGAGTACACTCTTACAGAGGCAGAAGACACACAAAAATGAAGCTGACATAATGATTTTATTCTTAAAGTCATTAAAATATGTAACTTCCCCCTCTTTTAACTTCAGGGGCAATGTAGATGGAACAAATGTATGCAATTTTAGGGAGAAGCCCAGGTGCTTCCATTGAGTTTGTTTTATGTTAAAACGCCACAACCCCAAGGTAAAATGCATATTGTATGTTGTTGGATATGTAATTACTTATATATATCCCATGTCATCACTGCTATATGAATTCTAACCTTTATAAATGGAATATTGTATGTTAATCTATTTAACAGATGTACTTTAATTAATTGGAATTAAAGGCCGCAGAAATATTGACAATTGCGTTGTTTCATTAATCGTTAGTTTTCTTTCTAAATGAAGACCCAGAAGCAACCACTTGAACTTTTAATAAAGCCTCTAGTTCTCCATATATATAGATATTAATACATCTGATTTTCACAGGTTCTAAAAAATCTTTTTATAGCGTTCACAACTGTGAACAACACAGACTGTGCCAGGTGGATGCAATGAGAGTTTCAGAGAATCTATTGGGCTCCATTTTACAAATTAGGGAACTGTAGTTAAGTGGCAGAGTAAAGAACCCTAGAAAAGAAGGGGTAAGATATGGGCGTACTTGTTGAAGTGGGGATTTTTGGTACAAGTCTGTTTGAAGCTGGACCTGCCACTTCTTATACAAACAGCCATCAGAAGAGATCAAGGGGGTTTAACACATCCATTTCGTTCTACTTTCTAAAGCAGTAGCTGGGTCACTGTTGGTGTTCTGTCAATACTTGCTTCAACTATATTAAATTGCCATTGCTGAGGGCCAGAATGATTTCATATCAGAAATTTCATTTGTTTTCACCTACAGTTATAGGCAGAATGAGACATTAAGGAAGCCGGAATAAAGTTCTCCTCAAAAATATCAACCTCAAAATATGCCTTCCCGGGGGGAATGGGACTTGATGTCTTTCTGAAATTTCTCCCATTAGCTCATGCTCTCTCCTGAGAGTAATAAAGGACATTGTGTTGTTCACATTTGTAGCAAGAAATGAATCATTTTTAATAACAAAAGTAATTAAAAACGAAGTATCTGTAAAAAAAAAAAAAAAAGTATGTATATATCGTTATGTCAGTTCTCCAGATGAAAAATGTTGACAGTAGTCTAATTGAGGTCAGCAAAAGAAGCAAAGTGTTTAAACCATTTCTCGGGAGAACTTTCCATCCCTAGTAATTCCAGAGCAAAGAGATAAAAACACTCAAACAGCTCTCCTGGTGTTAAACCCAGTTGTTCACGTGGGATAGCCAGCATCCAGTTGGAGTCCAAGCTAACATGGGTCAATTTATACAGATGTGGTTATGTATCTGATTCAATAGATATGATTTGATGACTGATGTTTATACCACACCAATCAGTAGATATTTTGACTATGACTCCCTGTTCACACTGCTCCTACCCACCCAGCCCCTCAGGTACCATCACAATAATAATCCCTAATAATACTCAGGCTCCAGGATGGAGATGTACAAGGGACATTAAATATAGAGCCAGAGAACCTGTATGCCAGGCCCATCATCTGTTAGCATGACAATTTTGAGGTCTTGGGCAAAACACTTCTGTAAGTTTCAGTTACCTCCTCTGATTCAGAACATGGGCTTAAAAATTCTACACTGTAGTTCTTCAGTTTCAAATAACTTCCCCTTCTCAGGTATGTGGAAGGAGACAAGAGAGCTGCTTTAAGAAAAGACAGCAAAATTCCCATTCATGCTACGAAACTCTCCAGCTGGCACATAGGGACTTGTCATCTCTTCGGTACAGGTTAGGGTTATGGTTAGGGAAGGTTACTTCCTAGATTTGAATTCTAGAGTTCACTAATTCTGTTTCTTGTTGACATCACTCTTCATTCCCCTACTTTGCCATGTGGCACCTCTGACCCTCAGTGTTGCTTCCTGGCCCACTCTCCTTCCCATATAACTAGAATACCATCCTGGCAGCCTAACATTGGGCCTTTCTACCAGTCCTTATAACTGACACATTCTGTGTTCTTGGCTAGTGTCAGCACTGAGCTTAACTCTACATAACTCATCTTGTTTCACCATGCAGTTAGATGAGTATCAGCCTCTTCACAAATGAGGACTCAGCCATATGTTCACTTGTCCAAAATTACTCTCCCAAACTTAGACTCTGCTCCCCAGAGGATAGAAGTACCCATTGCTGAGTTTACTGCCAGAGATAAATAGCAGGGGGTAATCATAAAGGGACACTTATGGGCCCTTAGCACTTTATATGTATCATCTCAATTCTCAATCAAAGTATGATTTCCTGACTTCACATCTACTCCTCACAGAGGTTGGCATCCCCAGAGAGAAACTTCCAGATCCTCACAGGATGACTAGGCCTTCTGATCAAAGCAGTAACAACTACTGTTTAGCCACTCTGATCCCAGGAGGGTGCCCCCATCCAAGGATGTCTTCCTTTTTTGAATGTCAAGTCTTACTTTGTACCCAGCTCCTACTATCCGTCAATCACTGCCCTGTCAACCTATCCTTGCCCAAACTGACAATCCCAACTTAGGAAGTACCTAGTCCTCAGACCAGCTATGTGGGGCTCCAGGTAGCAAATACAGGAATATGGAGGCCCCTTCTCCACTGGCTTCAAGTCTTCTGCAATGTTATCCTCCATCCTAGATGGACTTTGAAGCTCTGCTGTTTGCTTTGTCTCTGTTCTTACTGTGCTTCAGTCAACCAATGAAAGATCTGGGGACCAGTCGTATGGACAGTACTGGGCTAAGCAGTTTGCAAAGACAGTTTCCCTTCACAATTCCAGAACCATGGAAAAAAGGTATGGTAGTCATCACGAGGAAGAATGTAGGACCCAAGGAGACCCAGTGACTCGCTCAAGGCCCCATACACAGATGTATGTGGAACTGGCCCCCACCAATCAGTGTGACACTAGCCTCTTATAAGCTATCTTGTTCTGTTTCTCAGCTGTACCGCCATCTCTCATAGGCCTTGGGCACACCATCTCACTTCTTTGAATCTTGGCAAAAAAAAAAATCTCTAAATTCACCTCTAGCCCTAAAACTCATGAGCTGTGCCAGCTTCTCATCATTTCTATATAACAGATGAGAAAGTCAAGCCTTGTTTTAAACACATCATCAGAGCCCTCATTCCTCCTAAGGACCATGGCATCCCATCCTCAAGCCTTCTCCAGCAGCCATAGCTGCAGTTCCCGCTGAAGAAAGATACTTGGCTGGTTCCATATCTGTTCCAATGTCCCTCAGAGCAGTTTCCAATTGGTGAGAGTAAGAGGTAAGAATGGATTGAAGAATCTCCATCTCCAGGCCATACTCTAGACTAATTAAAGTAGAATCTCCAATGGAGTAACATGGGCCAGGTAACTGATGTGCAGCCAGAGCTAAGAACCACAATTTTCAAAGTATTGGCACCTAAAGAAAAGCAGGATCCTGAAAGCTAAACAGCTCTACCCTGGGATATTCCAGCTATTTCCTGCCCTATTACAGCTATTAAACCTCAGACAGAGTCTATGTTCTGCCTCACTGTCCTTACCTGTAATGGGAAAGCTAGAGTACATCTCTCACGGTACCCTTGAGAGGGTCAAATGAGATGATGCCCATCAAGGTACCTGATGGTTCTGGACCAGTAAGCACAAGTTGTCACTCTATCTATCACAAAATGACCTGGAAATGGTATGTTTCCTTCTACATTTAAGGACATAGTATAAATTAAGGGATAATATGAAATCATAATGAAATGGTTAATGATGGTTTGGGAAGCTGGTTGTTCATTCATTCAACTGATATTTAATAAGCATCTTCCATGTGTCAGGTTGGCCAGATGTCATGGGTGAAACAGACACAGCCATGAGGCTAACCAAACGTGTGTCTTTGGTGGTTCAAGTTGGCAGAGGGATCACAACAAAGAAATTGCTCAAGAATGACTAAGTCATTGTGATAAATGACTACTTTGTTGAATGGCAACTCCTTTGTCCAACAACTTAAAGATTTTTTAAAAAAGAAAGAAATAGGGTGTGAGGATGGAAAATGAAAAGGTAAGGCCTATATTGTACTTGAGTGATTCTACACATTGTGTTTTGTTTAGCTACCATTTGGACTTGTGACTCCACAACGCAATCACTACCGATAGCAAGCATGAGTCACTCTGTGGGTGCTGCTAATTACAAAGACCTTTGAGGCCAAGACCAAATAGAGACAGAGCAGTGGCAGGCTGCCAGCTGTGCTTGGGCCAAAGCAAAGTCATGTCTCAGATTCTGCTGATATAACTACCTCCTTCTGCAACTACCTCCAACAATCCCTAGTTCACAGCACATTCTCAGCAGGGGGGAGGGGGAGGGGACTTTTCTTGCAGAAGCTGCAGGGAGATCCAACACTCCCTCATCTCTGCTGCTTTTCAAGAATGACACTGAACTGCACACTACTTTCCTATGTGCCAGGGAGCTCTCCCACTTTTGCCATTGCCTTAGGTAACACAACCTGACATCAGAAGAGATATATGTCCCTTCTTCCCTAGAGCTCTATGGGCAAGGAGAGTAGAGACTGAATGAAAATGCCTATTTTACAGAAAAGTAAAGTGAGGCTCAAAGAGGAAGTACCTCAAGGATTCATAAGAATAAAGGGGTCAAGCCAAGTCTGACCCATCTCAAAACTGCAGTCCCTGCCCTTTCATACCTCCCTAGGGGAAACAGTCCATTGGCAAGATGGACTAGAGAAGCACCTTCTCTGGATTCTACACTGCAAGAATACAGAAGACCTTTCGAGTCTAACACGGGCAGGAGCAGAGGAGGAACGTTCGGGTGCTCTGAGACCTGTCCTTCTCTACAGAATGCTTGTTATTACCACCTGCCCTCGGCTCACAGAAATATGCACTTCAGAGGTATCTCCATTTCCTTCCAAGTGTCTAACCTAGGGCTCTCCTGGGCTGATCACCTGCTGCCCCTCCACTTCACATTTAACCACTCACTAGGGTTGACTTCTGGGTCTCAAGTGATATCACTACCACAGTGTTCTCATTGGTCTTCTTAATGTCTATCAAGTCCCTCTACCATACAGCAGCTAAAATGGCCTTTCTGCTTGAAATAAATATACATATTTTATATTTATTATATATTATATATTAATTATATATAATTATATATTATATATAGGCCTAGATTATATATAGGCCTGTATAAATATTTATATATAGATACATATTTATGTATAATTTATAGATGTAATATATATGCTCTTTGTTAGTAGGCTTTCCACCACTGTAATAATAAAGTTAAAAAAATTAACTTA